AACCCGCGCCCGTTATTTTCGGAAATACCCGGCCCTAAACATTTGCCACCGAACATATCCAAACCAATAGAATATTTCGATTTATTTTTTACGTACCAATTTCTGAACATGTTGATTTTTTCTATGTGCAATTACGTTTTGAAAAAGAGAAATTACTTTGTACGATTTTTATTGTCTTATACTTATGTTATTCTTATGATTTTTAACAAATATCGAAACTTCATTGGTATTGATTTATTCTCCATACCTTTCGCAATATGCTGCTTTTTGAATTTTGTAAATATCACGCCTACTTTGGTTTTTACGAGCATTTTCGCAAACCTCTACAAATTCGCCGATTCGGCCCGGTATTCTTCGCCTAGGTACGCTTCTTTCGCTCGGTGCTAAAAGGGTTAAAATAAAACACGTAGAACCAGTCATTTTGATCAGCATACTATATTTGGCGTTATTAAGTGCTCCATTTGTTAACGTAAGATGAAGGAAGTTTCGAAATATGTATATATTTTTTATCCCGTTGACAAAAGTTGTATGCGACAGGATTCCAATATTTTGGATTTATATAATCTTGCAGTTTGCAGGAAGTTCGTAAGCTGTCTTACCGCGAGTTACCCAACATATTTGCCGTTTTTCATCAGATATTATTTTTTGCGCAGTTCATTCCTCTCGACGACATATTCTAATCCGTTTCTTTCTAGTATCACGACCTCCTGCACAGCGTAATGTATTGAAAACTATTCCCCGATCGGGAATTGAATTACAAAAATCTTTCTTGTATCATTCACCCTCGTGCATGCCGCCGTTCAGTAGTATAAAATCGAATGGGTCAAGTATACCGTTCAGTGACCCTGTTTAATAGTTGTTAAACGTGAGCGCCCCCATTTTTCTTTGAAGCATGCTGCATGCGCAAATAACGGGACGAAACGTTTTCAGTGTACCTGGCATTTTCCTTGCAATTCCGTCCCGCAAAAAAAAATAAATAGAAATACACGACAAAGACTCGCCGTGGGATTTGTTATTACATCGCAGTGGTGTTAAAAAATATCGTACGGAAATAATTTAGAAATAAGTTTCTGAAGAGTTTCTTGTGCATATACGTCGAAGCATAAACCTTTTCTCGAAATTTCTTTTTCAGGCGACCAGCGTTCCAATTTCTATATTAGGAAAAATATCCAATATGGCCGCCCCGCGGACGCTGGTCCCAGCATTCCAACGTCGCTCCATGGATTCCCAAACTCGTTTCGAAAAACGTTCCGAGTTCTCGAGTGCGTTCTATGGCGAACCTTCTAAATTTATAATTGACCTTTCGTTGAACGAATAAATCTGAATATTCTGGAGCGACGAAGTTCGCAGAAAATTGTGCGTTTAGGGACATGTTCGACGATCAAACCCCTTATTTTCCAAACACCTTGTGTGCACACTTTCGCGAGCACCTCGCTACGGTGTTTGTCTTCCTCGAGTCCTGAACCCTGCGAGCCAACCCTAAAAATAGCCTGGGCACCTCGAACACCCCAGTTGCTGAACTTCAACGTTCTCACTCCCTCTCTCTCTTTCACTCTTCGCTACAATGTGTAACGTTCGCGTTGTTTCGTATTAATAGAATGCTTTGCGAACTTCGAGGTGCAGGAAACGCACGCGATAAGTCGCGCGAACAAACCCGCTCCTGCGGCGCGCGGGCGATAAATGCCCGTCACGACGCCGGGCCAATTCTTTCAGCCCTTTTTCCCGATTTTTTTCCCCCGGTCGCTCGTCCATCGCAACTTTTCGGTTCCGCGAACGCCGATGGTTTTTGTTAGTCACGTACCCGCGCCACGGAAACGTGCTCGAGTGACCCAGAGGGCTCGCGAGAAATTGTAGATCTGGAATCGATAGAGTTCGCAGGCGGCGTTGCCGGCTGGTGCGCTCCTCGCCAGCCCCCGCGAGCCGGCAACGCCGCGCTCCCCTCGTTCTTGGGGCCAGCCAGAACGTACACGTTTTTGTAGATTTCAAGGCCTCTCCATTCGGATTAAAAAAATAATCCCTCCGCTGCCGGGCCCCTATATGCCGACTTAATTGTATCGCATTACGTGTTCGGAACGTTTGTTGCTTTCCGTCCCCCTTTCCCCCAGGAATTCTTACTTATTTTTCATTCGTCCGCAGTTTCGCCTATCTGCCGGATCTGCCTCAGATAATAATAATAATAATTCCCTAAGAACACGGGGGTATAATAGGTCCGGCGTGATTTCTGATAGAACTTCTTTCAGGTCTGGTTTAGTTTTCCTATTATATTTTATAACTCATAATTAACACGAAACCAATTGAGACTGTATTTATTTATTTTCTATAGAAGAGTCTTCATAATTTCAACAACTTGAACACAGAACATATTGTGTTCGTCAAAATGATTCGTCGCACATTTTTTCTGTAAATATTGTTTTAATTGTAAAGACACTCCCACAGGAAATAATTTAATAAATATCTGAAGTTTTAAGCATACATTACGATGAAAGTGGCGAAAAGTCTATGTAAATTCAGTTTTGTTATTTTTATAAAGAAGTACACGTTACTCGCTTTTAGTACTTGGCAGATTCAGTGCTAGTACATGGTTATATTATAGTTAACGTGTGCAATCTTGTAAGAATGGCAAGCTTGAATATATCTAGCTATTTTTATTGCACTATACATATACGTATTTAATCATTTCCTATGAAGTATTCTTCATAATTTGTATAATTTTTGAAACAGAAATATGAAACCGGTCGTGTCGACCGGCTTGGTAAGTTCAATGTAAATTATATTCTATTTAGTCCTCCTTTAACAATGTATATTTTAATCACTCGCCGAGACTGAGCAGGACTCGGATCCTTTTCTGGGCATTGTCAGTGACTGTCGACAACTAGCAGATCCCTAGTCGTTTCGGGTGGAAAATGAATGCGTAACGGAGCCACGAGGTTAATATATGAAGAAAGAACAAAGGAATCTTTCTCACCGCGTGTTCGGTTGATATTTTTCAAGCGTCGGAATAAGTAGAGCGGGGCTCCGTTTGAAACGCCTCGAGGGGCCCGGTAATCCGAGATCCGGAACCAGCCCGAGACATCCGGACTGGGGAAGGGCCCCGGGTTCTCTCAGGGACAAAGGGAATTGCCATAATAGATCGGTCAAATAACGACACCATCGCCTTTCTTGCTTGCGAAACCGCGCTGCGCCGAGCCGAGCCGAGGATTCTACTTTTTACTCCAGGGCATAGAAATATCGATGAATTCAACCGAACCGAACATCCTGACAATAAGTCACTTATTCGTACTGCGGATCTCTCCGCAAACCTGGCGCTATTTTCGTGAGCAACCGTTTATGAGGGTCGGCTGGACCGTGGATCCCTTTTTTCAAATTTATTGCCAGTCGTCGCAACTTCAGGTAGCGCTGACAGTTTTTTTTTTTTGGGTAACAACTGCTCTAGCACTGTCTAAATAGGAACTCAGTTTGCTGAAGAATTCCTTCTCGGTTTGGTAAACTAAATGGTTGTACGTCTGTTGTAATTTATTCTAAAAATAATTCAATATGTAAGTAATACTACAATTCTGAAACATATTTGAAAATATTAAAAATAACGAGCACTCGCAGTACCTTATAAAAAAATAGATCGACACAACTGAGAAAACCAATAGCAGAAACCAACAGCGAAAATTGACTGAGAAAACCAACAGCGAAAATTTTGTCCAAAGCAAAAATCGTTAGAGTTTCGAAAATTTTTTTACAGCTACTTGAGAACTACTGCAAGAATACAAAATATTTTCACATTAAAAATTGGATACAGTGTGATCCAATTGAGAGAAGCTACAGCACAAAGAAGAATAGACCAGGGAAATTTGTTTTATAAACAAAACAAATTAAAAATTCTGTAGGGTCACCGACAATCTCACGAGATCATTCTGGAGTCAATAATGGTAAAATTAAAAAACTCGGAACTCGGCATTTTGATAGCTCCGATAAGCCCAGTGTTTAAGGTCTTACCGCTGGACTGTGGACTTTATACATTTATGGCAAAAATCTGGACCCGTCTGCTCGTGGAGGTGTATTTACTTTGGCGATGTTTGACGGCTGCTCTGGATGGTATACTCGATTTTGCGTTTGCGAGGGGGAAATAGGGGAACTAGGGCAGTTTTCCAACAGGGTTGAATTGAATAAAATTTTATAAACATACAATCGCAAGGCAACAATTTAATGCTAAACCTACCGCGCGAGCATTAATTTTTTTTTCTACATTTCCCAAATAATAGGGATTAACACTGTTAAACAACGAAAATTCTTTGATCGTCGAATAATAAATAATTCATTTCAGTTAATAACTATTACACCAAGGCTATTCTATTTTATTCATTCTGCATGTCTTCATATGAAAGCTACACCTGTATTTCTGCATTATACAATGTTTTATTTCAATTTTTATTTTACAGGATATTTTGAAAAACTATGTATATTATTTCATCACATTTCTCCACTTTCTGTTTAATGGAGTTAATTGATTTGGCAAGTGAGCGGCTGAAATATGTCTGACATACGTTGCTTTAGAAGAATTACAAGACTGAATTTATTTATGTATCACGCTGTCTGTATTACAACGTGTGTTTGAATGAAACAAATTGATTCCAACAATGTTTTCAATATCTCAACGATCTTAAAATAAAATGTGGTCGTTCTGACCGGCACGGCAGTGCCAAAATACTTCGTTTTGGACGGAAGACAACAACATGGAGTGCCACGTCAGCTATCTCTCTCGATCTGCGATACACAGATAAGATTCTGCGAATAAAAATGCCGCGCACCTGTATAAATACACTCGGTACTTATTCCGGTGAAACATTTCTGGTTACCAATATCGGTCACCCCGCTACGCTGACCGCGTAAAAACTCGGAAGAAGAATTCTTGCAACCGTGGGGATGAACAGATAAAACCTTTCTGCACAGAGTTACATTGCGCAATAGGTCGCAATTCAACCCTGTTGGAAAACTGCCCTAGTTCCCCTATTTCCCCCTCGCAAACGCAAAATCGAGTATACCATCCAGAGCAGCCGTCAAACATCGCCAAAGTAAATACACCTCCACGAGCAGACGGGTCCAGATTTTTGCCATAAATGTATGAAGTCCACAGTCCAGCGGTAAGACCTTAAACACTGGGCTTATCGGAGCTATCAAAATGCCGAGTTCCGAGTTTTTTAATTTTACCATTATTGACTCCAGAATGATCTCGTGAGATTGTCGGTGACCCTACAGAATTTTTAATTTGTCTGCAAACGTGCAAATAAATGATTCTAATAATTCTCAGCTTTATTCATTAATTTTTCAAAACATATTTTCGAAGATACTTTTTATAGGCTTATTATTCTTTCTTATTGTTCCTAGTGTAACAGCAATTTATTCAATG